TCTGATCCTCACCAACACTTGTTTTTATCTTTTTTTTTTTGGACCAGGTGCCCAGGCTGGAGTGTGGTGATGCAATCTCTGCTCACTGTAATCTCCGCCTCCCAGGACCAGGCGATCCTCCCACCTCAGCCTCCTGAGTAGCTGGGACCACCGGTGCGCACCACTGCGCCAGATTGTTTTTAGTTTTGTTAGATGCAGGACTTCACCACATTGCCCAGGCTGGTCTTGAACTCCTTAGCTCAAGCTGTCCACCCGCCTTGGCCTCCCTGAGTGTTGGGAACACAGGCATGAGCCACCGCACTTGCCCCCTGCTTCTTTATAAAAAAAAAAAAGCCCTCCTAGTGAGTGTGGGGTGCCACCTTGTTGTGCTTTTCATTTGCTTTTTCATTTGCTAAGACATCATTGCCTGCCCCAGAACCATGAAGTTGTACTCTTGTGGTTTTATTTAACGTTTTGTTCCACCAAAGCAGGTGACGCGTCATGTTTATTTGTGACACCAGATGTGTGAGGGTGTGTGTGTGAATGCGTGGCCGGGATGCAATGAAGTCCCTGCCTGCGGGGAGCCAGCTCCAGGTTCACTCGAAGGAGACAGGAGACCCGACGGGCTCGTGTGTGTGCTGTGGTGTGTCTTACGGCGACACCCACCGACCCCGGGCAGCAGGAGAGAGGAGACGGGTGTTGGCATCATCAGCAAAAAGGTAAAGCTCTTGTTCAGAAACAGATACGTGACGTGGGATACACTGGCCCAAGACCTTCGCATGGTTGACTGGCCCCTCCTGCCTGGTGGTGCCCTCCGTGTGAGCGGAGCCCTCTCTGCAGCCCCATTCTGTACCTGGCGGGATGTGGAGAAGCTACGCTGTCTCTGGGCAGGGCGAGGTGAAGAGATCCCGTCTTGGGGCCAGCTCAGGAGGTGACAGGGCTAACATTTGTTGAGTGTTTGCAGCGTGCTTTTTATGTTTTTGTTTTAGACCTCACACCATTCCTCCGAGAGCCGTGCTGTTTGTATAGAGCTATAGTTGGGAGCCCGGTGCAGTGGCGGTGCCTGTAGTCCTAGTCTCTTGGGAAGCCAAAGCAGGAGGATCACTTGAGCCTAGGAATTTGAGACCAGCCTGGAAAACATAGTGAGACCCTATCTCTAAACAAACAAACACACACACACGGCAGCTGTGGCAGCCAGGAAGTCTTTCTGGAGCCACAGCTCATGCTCAGTCCTTCGGCCTCCTCTGTGTCACATGACTGAGCTGTCCCTGCACCTCCTTGTCTCCTTGGAAAGTTACTGTGGTTCTCTGTCAGTTTAGTTTCAAACGTGAAAACAGGCTGGGCACGGCGGCTCACTCCTGTAATCCCGGCACTTTGGGAGGCCGAGGCGGGAGGATCACCTGAGGCCAGGAGTTCGAGACCAGCCTGGCCAACGTGGCAAAACCCGTCTCTACTAAAAATACAAGGATGTGGTGTCACATGCCTGTAGTCCCAGCTACGTGGGAGGCTGAGGCAGAAGAATTGCTTGAACCTGGGAGGCGGAGGTTGCAGTGAACTGAG